GAGGGGAGACCAGAGTACATCATGGGAGATGTTGGATAGTGAAAAATGGAAGCATAGTGCACTCCAACAAATGCCATCTTGGTAACTGAGGACTCATGTCAATGGTGAATTAACCCAAAATAAAATATTTTTAGATTTTTCCAAACGATAAAAAAAAAAAAAGATTGACCTTGTGAATTTTTTGCAGAAAATGCTTTTTCCGTTAATACATAAAATTTCCATCCAGCTCTGTTCTCTACCAGACTGTCAGGGTGTAATGTAAGCTCAATGAGTAGAATATGAAAATCACAGTATTTCCACAGAGAGAGTAACTTGTCAAGTGTATGTTTCACTCTCTTTCTCCTTTTTGCATCAGAACTGGCTGGTGTCCAATTGCAAGGTTTAAATGGATACTCTGTTCCGTTAATACATAAAATTTCCATCCAGCTCTGTTCTCTACCAGACTGTCAGGGTGTAATGTAAGCTCAATGAGTAGAATATGAAAATCACAGTATTTCCACAGAGAGAGTAACTTGTCAAGTGTATGTTTCACTCTCTTTCTCCTTTTTGCATCAGAACTGGCTGGTGTCCAATTGCAAGGTTTAAATGGATACTCTGCTCAGTGTGCAGTGGCAATTCCCCTGCAAACAGAACATCAAAACAACTACAAAAACCAAACAAAACCCTCCCTTCTGGATTACAGTGAGGTGGCAGTGGCATTTTCTAGCAATAATCTCACATTGTAACTGGAATGATCAGTTATTAAAAAGAGCAAGTTCACATTAAATTCACACCAGCACACTCCACTCCTCCATTATAAGTAATTACATGGGATTTTAAATATCTGATGCTAGCTGGCAGCATACAATACCCTGCGAGCAGCAGGCACTGATTTGTAATTTAATTATCATAAGCCATCCACCTGTTCTTTTGTCAAACCAGGAAGAGTATTTCTGTGCATTTGTTTTCCTTTAAGGAATTTGAATTAACCCTTTGAGAAAAGGTCAGGGATCTCGCTGTTTTCCAAGGAGCTTTGCAGGCCCACTGCAGAGCACAATGCTAGAAAGGAATAAGGGTCTGTGGCTGTACGAAGGTGAATCAGGACTCTTGCTTAATGTTCCCTGGCATCTCAGTCTCCTCCAGTCCTTTTCGAGAAATCCTCCTTTATCACTGGCTTGTGTTCATGACATGGTGTTTAGGTTGGGAACCAGCCATTAAAAACAGTTCACATGAGGACTGCTGGCTTTGTGTGTTGCCAGATCTTCACTGGTTCTCATGTAATAGCAAAGAGACAGACACAAAATGGGAGTGAAATAGCCACATGAGGAATGTTCCAGTTGCAACACTTTGTGGAGAATTTGGAAGGATTCAGGCTTGTGGGGAAGGCAGAAGGAAAAGGAAAATACAGAAGTATAGTGCATAATTGCTTTCCAAATCCCGGAGATTGAATATGGAGAATCCTCAGCATGTTCATGGTTAATATGCAGTTAATCGGTACAATTTTCAAAAGCATGTAAGGGACTTAGGCTCTTAAGTCATGTTAATAAATGGGAATCAGGAGCTTATGTAATTTAGTGGCTTTTGAAAGTTTTACCGTACATCCATTTTCCTTAATTATTCTTGGTCAGAGAGGGAGAACCCGAATGTAGTTGAGGGTAGTAGTGCAAAAGGCCTTAGAGTAGGAAGATTTCTGTTCCCCCCTCAGGTACTGGTGAGAGTGCCTAAAGCTTGGCAAAGATTGTAAATAGGTGGGAGCTTGAAGGACTATGGTGATACTGGTGAAGGGGAATTTAAATAAAGTTTAGCTGAGTACACACCTAGGCTGTGTCCAGACTCAGGGTTTTTTTCAAAAAAAGTAGCCTTTTTTCGAAAAAACTTCACCCGCGTCTAGACTGCAGCTGCATTCTTTCGAAATTAAATCGAAAGAACGCGGCTTTTCTTTCGACAGCGGTAAACCTCATTTCACGAGGAAGAACTCCTTTTTTCGAAAGTGCTCTTTTGAAGAAAGGTGTTCTTGAATGCCAACAGGGCTTTTTAGAAAGAGAGCATCCAGACTCACTCGCTGCTTTCTTTCGAAAAAGCGGCTTGCTTTTTCGAAAGTTCCGCTTGCAGTCTAGACGCTCTTTTTCGAAAGAGGCTTGCAGTCTAGACATAGCCCTAGTGGAGTCCGTACAGTTTCTGCAGGGAAGAGGGCGGAGGCAGAGTCCAGACTCTGTTAAAAGATCTAATGCAACTTTATAACAAGACTCCCTTTTTAAAAAGTTCTAATATGAATCTTTAATAATATAGACTAGGAATGTATTCAAAATCTTGAAATAACTAATGAAATAGCAACTATAGCTAATTTTACTGATTTTTTTTCTTCTTTACTATAAGACAGTGATCTCTTTTCATTAAAATCCTAAATTAATTGAGATTGATTTGTGGTGTGAGATTTTAATGTCATATCGAGTGCTTTGTTGTAACTATTTTACAGAATGACAGCTATGTGTTTGTTAAATAAGGCAGTAACTAAATTCATCAAGCAGAGAAGAATAACTTCTCTGCAGAAGTAGATAAAAATTGCAAAGATTTTCTATACCTCTCGTATTGTTAATCTGTTGTGTGAGCTCCACATTAGTATCAGTGTTACCATTACATATTACTTAATGCTCCAAGATCTGTGCATGAAGAACACTTTATAAAGTCCCCATTTCATGGTAAAAAATGACTTTCCCAAGATCGTGAAGTGAGTCAGTGACAGAGCCAGGAAAAGAGCTTTGGTTTACTGCCTCCGAGACCAAGTTGCCTACACTGCTTAAGACTAGCTTTTGTTTTTGTTTTCTTCCAGCTGCTTTGCATTAGCCAGCATAATTGCCTGGTGCATATTTACACTGCCTGGCTCAACAGATTATCCTGCACCATTTAGTTGACTTGTTTGAGTTCAGGACATGGATTGTCAGCTGTTTAAAGAAGGGGCTTACTGAACATTTCGACACTTCAAAAATCCCTCGCTGTTCAAAAGAGAATAAAAAGTTAGAATAGAGAAATCTTTTATGAAAAATGTCAAATCTGAAATGTCCAAATGGCAAAGTGGCAATCTTGATCAAAATGGAACAGTTCAATGTTCTGAAACAATGGAATCATGTGAAGAAATGCGTTTTGCCCATGATAGCTCATGATACTATATATATTTCTGTTAGTCTCTAAGATGACACAGGACTACTTGTCACTTAAGAGGAGGTTTGTGAACTAGTCATGGCTTCTTCATAGATGTCTTGCATGAGCATTGATTGTCCAGAGATACCATTGTCCAGTCTGTGAACTATTGTAGCAAGGGAGATGAAATGAGACTTGCATGATACATTGATTTCTCAAAGTTTTGTTTAGGTAAATTATGTTTAAATTACAGTAGGCTTCCGATAATCCGGAACCTATGGGATTTCGGTTGTGCCGGATTATCAAATATGCCGGACTATCAGGAGGTACTATAAGCAGGTTACATATATACTGTATAGATTATATACTGTATATAAAGTGTTCTTAACACTTTTTATTGTACATACTGTATACAGTATACTGTAATGTTTTAGTTTTTTAAGCCTTTTTTACCCTTTTTGTTCAGTTCAGCTGCTGCCGCTGTTACCTTGTGACTCATTTTTTGTCGAAACTCACTCACTAGGCTCTTCCTATTTTGATACCGGACTATCAGGAGTGCCGGACTATTGTGTATATGCTCATTATGGCATCAGTGTGGCTGGACATTTTCCTTAAAAGAGAGGCATTAGAATTAGTAGAGAATAATGGATTACATGGGGTTTCAGTGGTGTGTGCACCAAAGCTTATGGTATTGGTTGGCATGCTATCTATTAGATTGATGCCTTTTTGCCAAAATGATCTGCCTGGTGCTAGCTAATGTGTATGTTCCATGATTGCTGTATAAGGGGGAGGGGAGAGAAAGAGAGAGAAAGTGTGTGTGTGTGTGTGTGTGTGTGTGTGTGTGTGTGTGTGTGTGTGTGTGTGTAAAGTGTTGCAGACCTATTCCACAAAGCGAACAGAGACCAATTCTTGCCCATGCTGTATTTTGCACATAATTGGTGTATGCTGAGCACGGCCCTTGCCATAATGAGAGTTTGTAAACTTTGAAACAGTATATAGACTACAGTGCACACGCAAACTCACTTTTCAGTGGACTGTGGGAACGGTTCATCATATGAGATTTGTAATGTCTTCATGAATTGATGTAACTTCACTACTGTAGGTCAGAATTTCAAAATAAAAGTAAGGCCAGAATTCCAAATGGGAAATGGATAGAATGAGTTTTCAACAAAATCTTCCCCAGTAACAAAACTCTAGTGAAATTATAACATGCTTAGTTTTGTGTTCTAACATATAGTTTTGTGAGAAGGCCAGTAGTTCCAAGTACTTACTTACATTTTTCTAAATTAGATTTTGCACATTGCAGAATTACTGAGCTTTTAACTGGAAACGAAATTTTATAATAGCATCACAGCCATCCATTTTGTGCCAAAGATTTCAAGAAGCTCTTCATATCAAACCCTGACCCTAAATAGTCCAGGAAAATGTTACAGTGTAAGAATGTCCTTCTTGTCTGACTTTGGAGAAGTAATTTAACTGTTCTCTGTCACACTTCCCCATCTGTAATATGGGGACTAGTTATTCACCATCACAATTTCCTGCCTGAAAAGATTGTTATGGGCCTAACTTGTGTTTCTGAGGCATTTTCAGATCATTTCTGATGGAAAATGTTAGAGGAGTAATGTGCTGTTATTCTGAGGATATTGGGGGTGTGGACCAATGTCAACTAGATTCCAGGATAAGACCAACAGCTTTTTCTTTACTTTATAGCCCTGATAGAATTTCAACCCAAATCTTTTTGGATGAATGCTTGGAAACAATCTGTTTCTCCTGAGTTACTGATTGGGGGAAGGTTGTGGAGCTAATATTGGCTAATGATCTATAATGATATTAATACGTTTGTTATTTTTCAGAGATGCTTATTAGTCTTATTTTTCTCCTAGAAGTATCGCTATCAAGATGAGGATGCACTGCATGATCATACCTTACCTCGTTTAACCCATGAAGTGAGAGGACCAGAACTTGTTCATGTGTCCGAAAAGAACTTATCTCAGATAGAAAATGTCCATGGATACGTCCTACAATCTCACATTTCTCCTTTGAAGGTAAGATAAATATTCATTATTTTGGTCTTAAAACAGGGTAGATCATTTGTCGTGTGGTCCTGAAAAAAAATCATTTGTCCCATGGACAAGTTGCTTCTGTTTGAAATGCTTCTGTGCAGTTTCATTGTTCTGTGGCAGATCTTTAAGGCTTGATGGATATTGTAGAGTAATTAGTTATTGCTTTGCTGGCATAACTTTATATTAGTGTTGTAAGAGTTTGCAGAAAAAAATCTATTATTGGGGAAACAACCTTCTGTTTTATATAAAAGGGGACAAAATGTTCTTAAAATCAAGTTCTTGTACTGTTGTTTTGGCATGACAAAATTTTTGTCCTTGCTTCTAGGGTACAGTAAGCATTGTAAATATAGTACTCCAACAGTGGTGTCGTCTTGTCATAACTTGTTGACAAGTTCCATGTAAACTTTTCCACAAAGGAAGAATTTGTTTGCCACATTTGAAATCTTTATTGCTGCAGCACTTGTTGCCATTGCATGCTTTCTGATATGTACCAGTCATTTAAAATAGGGAGATTTTTATCAAGTGTCCCTGCACTTGCATTTGGGTTCACTAGCAATGCAAAAGTTGCTCATCTGCATGAGGGACTTACCAATAGTTTATTTGTCTTGGTCATTCCAAAATAATCTCATCTAATTTCACCTCTTAGAATACAGTTTGTGTAAAGATGTAGTTTCTGGGTTTTTTTTTAAAGGAGTAAGAGTTTTAAGGTGTTTATAAAACTTCCCCAGTACTTGCTAAGTTCAGGAATACACTGGCTTTCCTAGCGTTTATTATGCTGTTAGGGATGGGAAGAGAAAAGAAAGATGGCAGGCTCCTTTGTCAGAAGTGTTAATGTACTGCTGACAAATGTAGTTGATCTCTATGATACTGGTGTTCCTGTTATGGGAAGGTGGCGGAAGCAATGACAACAGTATAGTGTCAAGTAAGGAACTATTTTAAGACATGTGTACGTATTGATCAGGAAGGTGGAATGCCTTTCCTCCGTGAATTGGCTTTGTGGACCCACCTTATGCCTGGGGACTGCTGAAAGTTCTGCTTTGTTGTTAAATTACCTCACTCCCCTTGCAGCAGACACCGCTGGCCTTCCATCGGAGTTAAACAGAAAATACCAGACATTTGACATGTCCAGTATTCTCTGGAGTTTTTTTTACTGGGCAGAAGGCCAAAATACTGAACTGTCCAGGCAAAAACCAGACACCTGGCAACCCTACCTGACTCTGAGGGATAGGAGGTGACGATCTTGCACCTGAGCAAGCTGGGCTGGAAGGTGGAGCCTCGAAATTGTGCAGAATACATAGGCACAATTTTATTCCTCTGGGGAGGTGGTGTAAGATGTGGTGCTCTAGCCCTTTAAGGTACCAGGGATGACTGTTGTTTAAGCAAGGGAGATGAGCTTTTGTAGATTAGGGATGTTAGATGTTGATTAATTGAATAATTTTAGTAGTTATACGACTATTCAATAGTCCCCGGGGATGATGAATGGTGACTTCAGGCAGTGCACTCCCAGCCACATTCCTGGGGAGCCCCTTGCCAGTCTACACTGCTGCCTTTGTAGTGGCCGGCTTTTAAGCTGGCTCCCCCAAGCAGCAGATACAGCTCCTCCCCCACTGCCTCTGTGAGAGGCAGAAAGGGGGGGCAGGCAGAGCCAGCTCCCCACATGTATTGGCTTCCACCTGTCTCCCCTCCCCGTGCTCGTGCCTCCAAGAGAGACAGCAGCGTGAGGGAGCAAGCTGCTCCATGGGAGCCTATATGTGCAGGCAGCCCTCTGGAAAGCAAGCTTCCTACATGTACCAGCTCCCACTTACTCCCTCCTGCTTGCCCCCCTCACCCTCTACATGGATACCTCTCTATCAGAGGGGGGGGAAGTGCGTGTAGTTGATAGGATTAACTGATAAGCCTGGGTTTATTGGTTAATGGTTTAGCTGACTACATGTTGACATCCCTATTGTAGATAAGGCAAAGAGACCGCCTTTATTTATTTTTGACATTGAAACTTCCCTTTAAGATCACCTGACCCTTGCTGCTAATGTGGTGATGGTGGTAGGCAAGCTCAGTGCTGTGAGTAGGGTTGCTAGGTAGACCCCGCTAAAAAAACGGACACGCTTGTCATTAGTATCAGTGTTACCATTACATATTACTTAATGCTCCAAGATCTGTGCATGAAGAACACTTTATAAAGTCCCCATTTCATGGTAAAAAATGACTTTCCCAAGATCGTGAAGTGAGTCAGTGACAGAGCCAGGAAAAGAGCTTTGGTTTACTGCCTCCGAGACCAAGTTGCCTACACTGCTTAAGACTAGCTTTTGTTTTTGTTTTCTTCCAGCTGCTTTGCATTAGCCAGCATAATTGCCTGGTGCATATTTACACTGCCTGGCTCAACAGATTATCCTGCACCATTTAGTTGACTTGTTTGAGTTCAGGACATGGATTGTCAGCTGTTTAAAGAAGGGGCTTACTGAACATTTCGACACTTCAAAAATCCCTCGCTGTTCAAAAGAGAATAAAAAGTTAGAATAGAGAAATCTTTTATGAAAAATGTCAAATCTGAAATGTCCAAATGGCAAAGTGGCAATCTTGATCAAAATGGAACAGTTCAATGTTCTGAAACAATGGAATCATGTGAAGAAATGCGTTTTGCCCATGATAGCTCATGATACTATATATATTTCTGTTAGTCTCTAAGATGACACAGGACTACTTGTCACTTAAGAGGAGGTTTGTGAACTAGTCATGGCTTCTTCATAGATGTCTTGCATGAGCATTGATTGTCCAGAGATACCATTGTCCAGTCTGTGAACTATTGTAGCAAGGGAGATGAAATGAGACTTGCATGATACATTGATTTCTCAAAGTTTTGTTTAGGTAAATTATGTTTAAATTACAGTAGGCTTCCGATAATCCGGAACCTATGGGATTTCGGTTGTGCCGGATTATCAAATATGCCGGACTATCAGGAGGTACTATAAGCAGGTTACATATATACTGTATAGATTATATACTGTATATAAAGTGTTCTTAACACTTTTTATTGTACATACTGTATACAGTATACTGTAATGTTTTAGTTTTTTAAGCCTTTTTTACCCTTTTTGTTCAGTTCAGCTGCTGCCGCTGTTACCTTGTGACTCATTTTTTGTCGAAACTCACTCACTAGGCTCTTCCTATTTTGATACCGGACTATCAGGAGTGCCGGACTATTGTGTATATGCTCATTATGGCATCAGTGTGGCTGGACATTTTCCTTAAAAGAGAGGCATTAGAATTAGTAGAGAATAATGGATTACATGGGGTTTCAGTGGTGTGTGCACCAAAGCTTATGGTATTGGTTGGCATGCTATCTATTAGATTGATGCCTTTTTGCCAAAATGATCTGCCTGGTGCTAGCTAATGTGTATGTTCCATGATTGCTGTATAAGGGGGAGGGGAGAGAAAGAGAGAGAAAGTGTGTGTGGGTGTGTGTGTGTGTGTGTGTGAGTGTGTGTGTGTGTGTGTGTGTGTGTGTGTGTGTGTGTGTGTGTGTGTGTGTGTGTGTAAAGTGTTGCAGACCTATTCCACAAAGCGAACAGAGACCAATTCTTGCCCATGCTGTATTTTGCACATAATTGGTGTATGCTGAGCACGGCCCTTGCCATAATGAGAGTTTGTAAACTTTGAAACAGTATATAGACTACAGTGCACACGCAAACTCACTTTTCAGTGGACTGTGGGAACGGTTCATCATATGAGATTTGTAATGTCTTCATGAATTGATGTAACTTCACTACTGTAGGTCAGAATTTCAAAATAAAAGTAAGGCCAGAATTCCAAATGGGAAATGGATAGAATGAGTTTTCAACAAAATCTTCCCCAGTAACAAAACTCTAGTGAAATTATAACATGCTTAGTTTTGTGTTCTAACATATAGTTTTGTGAGAAGGCCAGTAGTTCCAAGTACTTACTTACATTTTTCTAAATTAGATTTTGCACATTGCAGAATTACTGAGCTTTTAACTGGAAACGAAATTTTATAATAGCATCACAGCCATCCATTTTGTGCCAAAGATTTCAAGAAGCTCTTCATATCAAACCCTGACCCTAAATAGTCCAGGAAAATGTTACAGTGTAAGAATGTCCTTCTTGTCTGACTTTGGAGAAGTAATTTAACTGTTCTCTGTCACACTTCCCCATCTGTAATATGGGGACTAGTTATTCACCATCACAATTTCCTGCCTGAAAAGATTGTTATGGGCCTAACTTGTGTTTCTGAGGCATTTTCAGATCATTTCTGATGGAAAATGTTAGAGGAGTAATGTGCTGTTATTCTGAGGATATTGGGGGTGTGGACCAATGTCAACTAGATTCCAGGATAAGACCAACAGCTTTTTCTTTACTTTATAGCCCTGATAGAATTTCAACCCAAATCTTTTTGGATGAATGCTTGGAAACAATCTGTTTCTCCTGAGTTACTGATTGGGGGAAGGTTGTGGAGCTAATATTGGCTAATGATCTATAATGATATTAATACGTTTGTTATTTTTCAGAGATGCTTATTAGTCTTATTTTTCTCCTAGAAGTATCGCTATCAAGATGAGGATGCACTGCATGATCATACCTTACCTCGTTTAACCCATGAAGTGAGAGGACCAGAACTTGTTCATGTGTCCGAAAAGAACTTATCTCAGATAGAAAATGTCCATGGATACGTCCTACAATCTCACATTTCTCCTTTGAAGGTAAGATAAATATTCATTATTTTGGTCTTAAAACAGGGTAGATCATTTGTCGTGTGGTCCTGAAAAAAAATCATTTGTCCCATGGACAAGTTGCTTCTGTTTGAAATGCTTCTGTGCAGTTTCATTGTTCTGTGGCAGATCTTTAAGGCTTGATGGATATTGTAGAGTAATTAGTTATTGCTTTGCTGGCATAACTTTATATTAGTGTTGTAAGAGTTTGCAGAAAAAAATCTATTATTGGGGAAACAACCTTCTGTTTTATATAAAAGGGGACAAAATGTTCTTAAAATCAAGTTCTTGTACTGTTGTTTTGGCATGACAAAATTTTTGTCCTTGCTTCTAGGGTACAGTAAGCATTGTAAATATAGTACTCCAACAGTGGTGTCGTCTTGTCATAACTTGTTGACAAGTTCCATGTAAACTTTTCCACAAAGGAAGAATTTGTTTGCCACATTTGAAATCTTTATTGCTGCAGCACTTGTTGCCATTGCATGCTTTCTGATATGTACCAGTCATTTAAAATAGGGAGATTTTTATCAAGTGTCCCTGCACTTGCATTTGGGTTCACTAGCAATGCAAAAGTTGCTCATCTGCATGAGGGACTTACCAATAGTTTATTTGTCTTGGTCATTCCAAAATAATCTCATCTAATTTCACCTCTTAGAATACAGTTTGTGTAAAGATGTAGTTTCTGGGTTTTTTTTTAAAGGAGTAAGAGTTTTAAGGTGTTTATAAAACTTCCCCAGTACTTGCTAAGTTCAGGAATACACTGGCTTTCCTAGCGTTTATTATGCTGTTAGGGATGGGAAGAGAAAAGAAAGATGGCAGGCTCCTTTGTCAGAAGTGTTAATGTACTGCTGACAAATGTAGTTGATCTCTATGATACTGGTGTTCCTGTTATGGGAAGGTGGCGGAAGCAATGACAACAGTATAGTGTCAAGTAAGGAACTATTTTAAGACATGTGTACGTATTGATCAGGAAGGTGGAATGCCTTTCCTCCGTGAATTGGCTTTGTGGACCCACCTTATGCCTGGGGACTGCTGAAAGTTCTGCTTTGTTGTTAAATTACCTCACTCCCCTTGCAGCAGACACCGCTGGCCTTCCATCGGAGTTAAACAGAAAATACCAGACATTTGACATGTCCAGTATTCTCTGGAGTTTTTTTTACTGGGCAGAAGGCCAAAATACTGAACTGTCCAGGCAAAAACCAGACACCTGGCAACCCTACCTGACTCTGAGGGATAGGAGGTGACGATCTTGCACCTGAGCAAGCTGGGCTGGAAGGTGGAGCCTCGAAATTGTGCAGAATACATAGGCACAATTTTATTCCTCTGGGGAGGTGGTGTAAGATGTGGTGCTCTAGCCCTTTAAGGTACCAGGGATGACTGTTGTTTAAGCAAGGGAGATGAGCTTTTGTAGATTAGGGATGTTAGATGTTGATTAATTGAATAATTTTAGTAGTTATACGACTATTCAATAGTCCCCGGGGATGATGAATGGTGACTTCAGGCAGTGCACTCCCAGCCACATTCCTGGGGAGCCCCTTGCCAGTCTACACTGCTGCCTTTGTAGTGGTTTGGGGCATGACCAGGCGGGCGCCCGCCTCTTGTGGCCCTTGGCAGGCTCCTGGGAGGCGCCAGCCTGGGCCTGGGGAGGGGCGGAGGGGTGGGGGGGAGCGGGGGGGAGCCAGTCTACGTGGAGAGCCATTTTTTAGAGGAGGGCAGGCAGCAGAGGCAAGGAGGGCAGGCAGCCCTATGGATTTAGTGCATGTGGGGAGCCGGCTTTTAAGTGGGCTCCCCAAAGCAGCAGATACTGCTCCTCCCCCACTGCCTCTGTGAGAGGCAGAAAGGGGGGGCAGGCAGAGCCAGCTCCCCACATGTATTGGCTTCCACCTGTCTCCCCTCCCCGTGCTCGTGCCTCCAAGAGAGACAGCAGCGTGAGGGAGCAAGCTGCTCCATGGGAGCCTATATGTGCAGGCAGCCCTCTGGAAAGCAAGCTTCCTACATGTACCAGCTCCCACTTACTCCCTCCTGCTTGCCCCCCTCACCCTCTACATGGATACCTCTCTATCAGAGGGGGGGGAAGTGCGTGTAGTTGATAGGATTAACTGATAAGCCTGGGTTTATTGGTTAATGGTTTAGCTGACTACATGTTGACATCCCTATTGTAGATAAGGCAAAGAGACCGCCTTTATTTATTTTTGACATTGAAACTTCCCTTTAAGATCACCTGACCCTTGCTGCTAATGTGGTGATGGTGGTAGGCAAGCTCAGTGCTGTGAGTAGGGTTGC